TCTCTCTCTCTCTCTCTCTCTCTCTCTCTCTCTCTCTCTCTCTCTCACACACACACACACACACACACACACACATACTTTAACACAAATTCACCTTTATTTTCAGTTTCTTTAATTTCAATGCCATTGATGAGACTAAATGACCCCACCCTCACAAACAAACAAAAACAAACCAAGAAGCATACCAGAAAAAGGACAAGAGAGACAGGATCTCACTACTAAGGTCTCCTGCTGAATGGTGCTCTGTAAATGTCGCATACCAATTGCCAAGTCACAATCTTTCAGCACATTAAAGCTCTGTAGGCAGAGGAGAGAACCCAAGTGTCCCAGAGGTCCAGTGGCTTTTGATGGTCACCATGTCTAGTTCTAGTTTGTGTCAGATCCAGTCACTGGAGAGCTGTGCTGTGTCATTTCCACAATGCCACCTGATTCCTCTGGATGTGCAGGCATAGGAGGAGTCTTAAGACTCCAAATTTCCTTTATTAGTTAGACAAAGAGACCCCCCCCCACCCAGCACACATTCAGGATTCATAATGGAGCCACACACTCAAGCACCAGCTCACTTACTAGACAATTCCTCCCTGTTCTGTGGTCTGAAGACTCTATACAGGGCCCTGACCTCCTGCAGATCCTTCTCCTGCACCAACATGCGGATTATCCTCTGGCCCAGGAACCCTCCTGCTCCTGTCACCAGGCAGCTCCACCCAGTCATGGTGAATGCAGGAAACAGAACACAGCAGGGAGCAGGTACGATGAAAGGTGATGCTATAGAGGGTAAAAGAAGAAGTCCAATGAGTACAGGGGTACAGAAAGCCCTGGGATTGTGTAAGGGAAAACCCTCCTCTAAATTAGTTTCCTACTATTCTCTCACAACAGAGATCACTTCCATGATCCCACAGCTAAATGGGGGATTTCTGTTCACCTGCAAGCAAGGAATCAATTGTCCTCTATTCTGAATCAATTCTGACACTCTTCTTGGAGATAGTGTCAGATCCCAAATGAGCGAGGACTCAGTCCCCATGACTCCCAACCACTGAAGATGGCAGTTACAAACTCCATGTTGTTTCACTTGTGCTGAGCAACTAGCTACAAATTGAAATTCCCATACTACCCTCGTCAAGTTTGATTAGGTTTCTTGAACAGTTTATATAGAACACAGATGAGTGTTTACTTAGGTGCATGGTGTTATTATAAGAGATACTTAAAAGCCTACAGATGGAGAGATGCACAGGGTGAGGTGTGGAGGAAGGGGCACTATCTTACCTGCTCTTCCTGGATATACCACCATGCAGGTACTTGCATGTCATCACCTGTCTGGCCGTTCTCTGAACCTTATACTTGAGGTTTTTATGGACACTTTACTAAACAGATATCATGGAAGCATGGACCATCATTTCAAAATGTGATTGGAGAACAAGAGGGTGACTAGATGCTAACCAAATGGATGGATAACTGAGTAAGGCAAGTCTGTAAGTCTGTTCGTACTCTTCAGCATTCCTTCCTTGAAGGTATAGGGCGGGATCCCTGAAGAACAAAGGCCTTCTTTGGCATGGCATGCCTTAGGGGGGGATTTCTGTCAGGAACACACACACACACACACACACACACACACTTGTATCATTACTATATACCATTAATATGTGTGTGTGTGTGAATTAGTATCACATCTTGGTTATGGAACATGGGTTCTTCACATCACACTGATATACATCTCAAAAGAATCTGCCGCATTCTCAGAATTCCACTCGATCTCAATAATTCATCCAGTTGATCATATTATATAGACTGTGTCTCCCAGGGTGAGGCCCTTCAGCTTTGCAGACTTCCTGCCCATCTTTTCACTTTTCGAGCAGGATTGTTCTTGGCAAACAAAATTTTTCATGATCCTAAAAGGGTGGGAGAAGACTATATCCTGATTGAGCCCATCTCTCTCTTTCTGCAGTACCATATCCACTCATTTTGTGGACCTAAGTGGCCCTATTCATTGATCTCATGGGGACATGGATTGATAGCTCTAACAACCTTCCAAACCTAGAAGGAGGTTTTTCTGATGGACATCATGTCCAATTTGAATGCGCTTCTAAAATGTCTGCAGAGCTGCTCCCTGCCTTGCTGTCCCTCTTAATGTACCAGGTTTCCAGTGCTTTCTTCCTGACCATGTGGGCAAGCTTTGGCCACTTACCACGATTCAGAACTCCACACCCACCCACCCACCCACCAAGACAAACACAAGAGCTTTTATTACTATTCAATTTCTCAGCATGCAATTGAATCCCTTGAGCTGATTCGTTGTCTTCTTCAGATAGAGCAGCTTCCATGGAAATAGGAGTTGTCATTTCAACTTGGAGTTGTCACCCATAAACTACTTCAGTTCTAACAGCTTCTATGGAAATCTGACGTTGTTTCACACTTGGTTTGTGCCAGCCACAAACCAAGTGGGTCTCTATGGTCAGTGAAGAGATGTTTCTAGGTCTTGGTCCAAGTATCGACAGACCCCAGCAGCTCTTTACACAGTTCCAATCCTAGGGAAATGGGTTGTGTGCTTGTGACTACCTCCTTCCTGCCTCCCTCTATAGCATGGTCCTGTGAAAACCATTTCCGTTTGATTCAGGTCTCCTTGGGCAGTTTTACGCCTAGTAGAGTGCATCCCTAGGAAGGCTTCATGGTATTTCAGGTTACAAGGTGATTTTTTTAAAAAATATTTTTATTAGTTGTTTGTGGCCCTTTTATTTATTTTTATGTGGTGCTGAGAATCGAATCCAGGGCCTCACACATGCTAGGCAAGCACTCTAGCCACCACCCCAGCCCATACAAGTTGATTTTATGAACTCTATTCTGACGGTAGCTTGATTAATTCTGAAAGACGAAAAGAAATGTGAAAGCGGTGCAAACCAAAATGGGCTCACTGTGGTCAACTCTCACAAAAAATAAATGGGGTCCAAGAGTCATAAGTGGTTTTTATGCACAATTGCCTCATACTATGACAAAAGTCTCTGCCAGAGGCATAGACTGTCTGTCTTGCAGGCAGACCATGGCCACCTGAGTCAAAAAATTCTTTTGTATGAGATTCAAGATGTCCAATTAGAGGAAGGCTCTGTTTCCATGGCTCTTTGGCTCAGGATTCAAGCAGTGAATGTGCTGCTTTTTTTTTTTCCAGAGTGTCTGAAAGAGGGACTTCACTGAAATTCAGTATGAGGCAGTCATAATGTTTTGGACTCACATTTGTGTGCCTTGAGCAAAGGACAAGAAGGAGTTCATTAAAGCCAAGATGATTATTGTGACAGCAACAGCAGCATCAGCTAATTGTAGAGAGTAAGGATAACACACACAGAGAGAAACACAATGGACATATTTGACTTGGAAAAACCCTGTGGAGAAGAAAATCAGTCTGGACTTAGCTGATCCAGAGACTGCACAGCAAACTGATATTTGAAAAATGCCGTGGACTTCTCAACTGGCACGTGGAGAGTTGAGGCTAGGCACTATCTTAGACTAAACCTGAAAAAGTCATATTTATGGGCAGTGGGGTATAAGAGAACTATGGAGGATTGGCTCCCTTACCCTAGATTTGTTTGGGAGACTTCTGAGACCCAGATTCCCAGCAGAGATCAGCATCTCCCAGCCCTAGGAGTGTGTTGATTTAGACTCTACAGAGCAGATAGCACCCGGAAAGTCCAAAGGCCTCTTTAGAGTTAAGCACCATCAACTAGAACTCCCCACCCCCACACTGCAACAGCTCCAATCTGGCAGATTATGGATCTGGCCTGTCCAGACAAAAATCCAATTAGCACTATTTCCCATTCCATCCTACCTTATACTGGTTATGATCTAGTTAATCTATTCAAGTAGATTAATACAATGATTAGGTTAAGGCTCTCATAACCCAATCATTCTACTTCTAATCTTTTTTGCATTGTCTTACACATGAGCTTTTGGGAGACACCTCACATCTAAACCATGATATTACCATTCCTATTTGTGTGATAATTAGCTCCAGGTCTACAACCAGCATCAGTTTTAGGCCACTCCAGCTTGCAACTCAGTGAGCAAAACAAAAAGAGAAAGGTGATAACAACTCCTAGCCCATGCTCTAAGAGGGGTGCATAACCAAAGAAGAAATGGAAAGGATAGGTGGGCATCAGCAGTGATCATCCATCCTCATCAATAGTTTTGACTACCTCAATGGAGAAAATTCTTTCATTTTTATTAAGAATCTCTTTCTGTTTTCTTTTTTGGTGCTTTCGTTGTGCTAATGGGTTCATTGATACACATTTTTCTTAATTTTTCACAACTTTTATGATTATTATTTACCTTTATCTCAACTTTTGAGGATTACAATTCTTGTCAATTTTTGTTTTGCTTCTCCTTTCTTTCTTCTCCCTCTAATATTCAAATTCTCTTATTCTCTCATTCTCTTAGTTTCTTTATTTTTTCTCCTTATTATAGTGATCACTTGCTAGATTTCTTATGCTTTCTCTTTATTGATATTTGGAACATTGTAAACTTTCTTTACCTTGTAATTTTTTTTGTTCTCTTAATGAACTGTATACTTACTTTCTTTTAGAACTACTTAGTTTACAAAACTGGTGTCCCCAACATTCGTGTTGTTGCAGTTAATAAGACTATGAGTGGCAGAGTTGATATCTGCTGTTTAATGCCAGGTCTAGTTTGTGACTATTGTGTTTACTGATAGGAATTTCCGACCCCATCTGTTTCAGCCAACTTTGTTGCTGTTCTGATCAAAATACTTGATAAGAATGATTTTAGAGGAGGAAAAGATTTTTGGGAACTCACAGTTTCAGAGGTCTCAGTCCAAAGATGGCCAACTTCATCACTCTGTGTCTGAGATGAGGAAGAACATCATGGCAGAAAGGTAGAAGGAAGCAGCTCAGGACATGATAATCAGGAGGAGAGAGAGAAAGGGAGAGATTGCTCTCCTTGCTGCAGACAAGATATAAACCCCAAGGGCATGCCCCAAATGACCTATCTCCTCCAGTCACACCCTATCTACATACTACGTCCTAGTAATGACCCTAACTGGGTCATTCAAGTGGGTTCAAGTGGGTTTAGATCAATGAAACAAGAATTGGTTACCTGAAAAGATAAATATGATTGGTAGCCATATAGAAAGAGAGAGAAAACCAAATCAACAAAATTGGGTATGAAAAAGGAGCTATCGACGCAGATGCATCTGAAAGCCAGAGGATTTGAAACTGTTTGAAAAGTTAGACTCCTATAAACTGGAAAATCTAGAAGACATCGACAAATTTCTATATGTATCAGATCTGCCTGAATTGAAACAGGAAAATACAGAAAAGAGAAACAGATCTATATCAAGTAATAAAATTGAAATAGCAATTTAAAGCCTTCCACCAAAGAAAAACCCAGAGCAAGATGGATCTTCAGCTGAGTTGTACCACGTCTTTAAAGGAGAACTAACACCAATCTTGCTCATTCAACATCTAAAGAGAATTAAGGATAAAAATCACACAAGCATCTCAATAGATACAGAGACAGTTTTCAATAAAATTCAGCATCAATTATGATAAAAAGACTGAAGAAACTAGGGGAAGAAGGAGCTTACCTCACCATCCTAATGGAAATTTTCAACAAACCCAAAGTCAACATCATAGTGAATGGGGAAAATCTGAAAGCGTTTCTTAAAATTTCAGAGCAAGACATGGATGTCCACGTTCACAATTCCTATTCAACGTTGAACT